TGAGCCTTTGCATTTAACGTGTGTACTAAAGCAACTGGTTGGTCTCTGATGTACCTGTTCACAAGGAACACCTTTCACAGACTTTGTTGGCCATGCATTATGCTTCCTGAGGAAGATAGCACCCCTGCCTTTGCAGGCTGTTCTCACACGGTCCCTGTTTGAACACCATGCCCCTCCCAGTACAGGGTTCTCTTAAACACCCCCACTCTCACCACAAGTGATTGCTCCTGGCCTCGGAGGTTTGCAAGGGGAGAAGTGTGATCCGACAGTGGCCAGACCCTCCTGCTACAAAAGCAAGTGTGCACAGGGCTGAAGTAAACAGCACATAGCAATGCAATGGTACTCTCTGCAGAATGCTCTTCTGGGGAGAACACTGTGGGTGGTTAGAGGCAGTGGGACCAGGCAGCCTCAGTGCAAAGACCAAAGGCAGATTGTGCTGCTTGCCCATAGTGAAGGGACACATGCCTCTCCAAGGCAAGAGAGGGTCCAAGAAATTCATGACCTCAAGGAGAAGCCAGTGGCAACAGATCGGAATACAGCTCACCCTAGATGAAAAACACAAGACACCATCTCCAACCATTTATAGGAGAAAAGGCCCAAGCAACAAAATGAGAAAAGCAGGAGGGCATGGGTGTTCATCTATGAGCTCTTCACTATATCCTCCTGGGCTTCACAACACTGGCCTGGCCACACCTCCATCTTGATGGGCAACAAAATCCTCCGGAGATGTCGGTGGATGTTTGTTCATCCTTTGTTATTCCAGTGTATTTTTGTATGTCTCCCCAATCTTTCACCTTGACTCCGGGCCATCCCCTCTGATTCCCATCTTCCTCCTGAGGGTGCTTTGTTAAAGGTATTGAGATGAATTACTTAAACATCAGGTATCTCTTCAAAGTTGATGTTATCATGGCAACATTTATTCCAACTTTTTAATGAGAACCTGAAATACAAAGGCTGTCCAATGATGCTTACTGAACATTGCCAAGGCAACCTGGGTTTTCCTCAAACTGTCTGGTTTTGTGGGACTTCAACCATACAATGCATTTAAGCTGAGCTTTTGTTAATTAGCTGAAGGTTGTGGGAAGATGGGTGTTTCAGCAATGGAAAAGACAGCCTGCTGCAGTTATAGACTTAGTGTACAAACATTTGAAAGCATCATCAATTCCTTTTGATACTCCTGATCAAAATGCTGTGTGGAGAACAATGCCCCTGCTAACAAAACTTTCCAAGTCTCCATATCAATGTCTCCATGTCTCTTGACCATGTCCTTTCTGCATATTCAGGCACAAAAACAGTTAAAAAAAAAAAAAACAAACAAAGAAATTAACCAAAGTAGACACATAGCCTTTGGTAACCTCTGAGAGTTATCTGTTCAGTTTGGGACTTTTCTGATTAGGGTCTTGCAATATATAAATGAGTGATTCAACTCCCAGTGCTGTGGCTCTGTAGACAGCTAGGATTCATGATACCTCTCAGTCATCTCTTAACAAGTTCCTTGCTACAGAGATGACATATTACCATATGATGTGACTACTGAACCAGAAAGGACTTTGGTTTTTTTTTTCCATGTGCTATGACCCAGGTAGCCACATAGCTGAGGACAGTCACATTTTATCTAGATGCTGGCCTGGCAAGGTAGAGTCTCTTGACAGGTAGTGGTACAAAAGGCAGACAGACCTGCATACATTATAATCTTTGGATTGAGAGCAGGGGAAACAAAACCAAACTAAAACATTCATGTCACAGCATGTGCACCAGAATAAACCAAACTAACCCTGTCACTCTCCACAGGTCAAAGATGGCCATACGAATAAGCAGATATCCAGGGCAGAGGATTAACTGGGGTCAGGCTGAACATAGAAAGGGAAGAAAATGTCCCAGATAAAGATGGAAAGGATTTAGAAGACAACTGTTGCACTAGCTAGTGGCCATATTAGCTATTCCAACATTTTTGAATACCAGAAGGAAACTAGTTTGTCTGAGTTGACATTTGCAGCACAGGGGAACTGCCAGGGGAGTGCTGAAAAAGCATGCCTGGGGGCTAGGCATCTCCAGCCTCACATGGGATCTTAGCTGGGCTGCTTTGGTTGCTTTGCTGCAGGAGAGCCAGCACCTGAGAGCCTGCCAAATGCAGAGGCAAGGTCATCCCCAAGGCTGACAGGGACAATTGTGACAGAAACCTTGCACAAGAAAAGCAGTGTGTTGGATTATTCAAGTTTTCTCTTGGGAGAAATAGAAAATACAACTAATACAACTAAGAGAAATAGAAAAACAACTAATCTTAAATTCCTATGCACAAACCCATGACACACAATGAGGGATCCACCTCCAGAACTTCTCAGGCTCAAGAATTAACTTTTACTTAGGCAAAGCAGTGCCAGCCGGTGAGCTCTTAGGACAGAGTAAGGCACACTCACTCTCATGGTTGTCTGTATCTTTGTATAGGCAAACACCATTCCTCCTGTGCGCAGGTGGTCTGACAGTCTGACAGTGGTCTGACAGTCCACAGGTCATGATGAAGACAGCAGGAGCTGTGATTCCCCCACAGCTCTGGAAAGACAAGGCAACCAGCCCACTCCAAAGGCCAAACTAATTCCTTACAGGATGCAAAATTACATGGCTCAGTAAACCACCACACCTGCAAAGATGGAAAGCCTCATAAACATCTCTGCTCTTAAAATCCTCTTGCTGTAACAGAGGATGGATTCAGACTCTAGATTCCCACATCCCTCACTTCCTGGGCAGCCCCAGCATGTGCTCCTCTGTTGGCCAGGCTCCTTGGGGTTCCTCTCTAGAAGGGGCTTAGCAAGAGAGCTACACCTGGAGAAATGCCTGCCCAGTGTAACATAAGCTTTGCTGCTCCTGCAAACCAGGCACTTCTAGCAAACTCAGATCCTTGTTTGGAAAACTTTCTGTTCCATCCTGCAATAAGAAGGACCCATCAGGCTGCATCTATTGTTCAGTGCTGAACACAGAAATAACATTTTCTGTGGTTTGCTGTCCATAAAGCCAAACACCCTTTGAAAGCTCAGCAGCCTGAAGGCAAGGATGAGAATAGACTCTGAATGGCTGTGAAAACATTGTGAAATGACATTTTTTTCCCCCAAGCTGAGAGACACATAACCAGCCCAAAGTCCTGGTTAGACTTTGTGCTCTTGCTGACTTCTGTGATCAAAAGGCAAGACAAGTAAGACCCTGCAGGGCATGGTTATGCTCTAGATAAGCATATCTTATCTATGTGATAACTCTAACAGACAAGCTTTACTTTGACTGCAAAATGAGTCTAAGAAGGAGAGCTTAACATGGTGAGCACAGTAGCTCTGTGAAAAGGAGGCAAAACGTACCCAAGATAACAAATTTATCTTGGCTACTTGAAATACATGGCTGATGAATTGTTTGGAGTCAAAGTTGATTACCAAGGCCATTAGCATCTGACTTTGAAGAAGGAGCTCACAGAGGTATGACAAAGGAACAGGTAAGGGCAACAGGCTGTTTTGTGAAATACAGAAGTCAGCCCTACATGTCTTCCTTTGCAGTCTGTCAAGTGTAAATTTACTATATCAGCTAAAAGGAAGTTTCCTTGTAAATCCAGAGCTACACATGAACGGTTCCTGACAGGAGTCATCTCCACATGCAGGAAACCTATAGGCCTCCCAGTTCCACATTGCACTTTAATGCATGTCACTGTGGCTCTCAGATAGCCAACAAAAAGAATAAATCCTCCCCTTCCCTATAGGGTGCAATGTAGATGGGGAAAATCCTTATTTTGCACAGGAAAGGAGTTGCCTAACTGTTGCAGCCCATCTTTTTGGTCATGGTGTTCAGGCTTGTTTACTAGTATGCAGGAAGACTTTGCAAGGAGGATGAGTGTAGCTTGCAAGTATAAAACAATTATTGATTGGCTAGTAACACAAAATATTGCTAGAATTTAATGAGCAACTCCAATGAGCATTGTGCTTGCCATCCCTACAAGACATCTGAGCAGTCATTAGTGGCCAGGAAGGCATTATTCAGGTGGGGAAGGACTGACCTCTGAGGATCCCTGGTACACAGCCTCTGTGTTGCTGGGTTGCTTTCATTTCCCAGGTCAGTTGACACAGATAGCTCTGATGGCCCCGTCGATTACCAGATCTGGTTTTTTTCACTTTAGGGTTTTATTCCTTTTCCTTCAGTATCTAAAAAACGTGTCTCAACAAGCTCAGTCCTGTATGTGATTTTTCTTTTCTTATTTTTCTGTGGACTTTCTTACAATTGCTTCCAAGAGCACTTGCAACCAAGGATGTTGCAGGTGAACATAGACTCTGGAGGCAGGTTATGGTTTGCACAGCGCATGTATTTTCTGCCACAATTTGGGGAGCAGCAGAGAGGTGAAAGGGAAATATATGAACAGTATACCATGATATAAAATCTCAGCTGATTTTTTTGTGGCATGTCCCAACAGCAGAAGCAGTTTAGGCAGGTCTCAAGGGAGCTCAAGAGGTGCAGAACACAAGGTAGTGTGATAGACAGTTTTGTATGGAGGACTATGGCAAAGGCCTGTTTCATGCCTGAAGTTTGCTTTTCCTGGGGACAGGAGCCTGGGTGCAAAGGATAATTCTGCCCACAGTACCAAAACAATCAGGAATCCTCCAGATCAATGATGTCTCCCTTTCTAGGTTGGGGTGTTTCTGCAGGTCCTACAACCCAAGTGAGAGAAGAGAGGAGATCATGACAGAGACAAGGTTCATACTAAGGGTTCA